TCCAGAAGGGAATAATTCACAGCAACAATAGTGTCTGAATTCTCTGAATTCCACAACTCTCTATCTATCTATGTTTTTGGTTAGTATGACTTGTCAGATAAATGTTTGGGTTTGTGACTTTCTCAGATAAGTGTCTTGGTTTTCTAAAATGTTTTGGTTTATGTGACTATCGACTAAGTGTTTTGTTTTCTGACTATCAGATAAGTATATGTTTTGTGACTTTCCCATATATGTTTTGAACTACCTTATTGCATACTTTATGATTCACTTTATAATTTTTAAGCTTTTGGAAACATAAACATCAAACAAATTGATAGATAGTCTTAGAAATCGGTACATAGTCTTTGAATGACACACAAACAAAGACTCAAGACACTACGAAAACACAACCAAAAGCAGAACCAAAAACACAACAAAGACAATGTTGATTCACACAAGCATAGACACTACAAAAACACAACCAAAAGCAGAACCAAAAACACAACAAAGACAATGTTGATTCACGCCATTGAGCAACATGTTTTCTCTAAAGAAATCTAATGGTTACCACTTTGATACTCCCATTATGACTCCAATAACCACTGTAAATCCGATTGATGAAGTTATAAGGACATTACGAAACACCCTGCACCTTTCGTTTCATATCAAAACCTCTCGCCTTAGTGCTGCACAGTCTTCACGAGTTTCCTTCAATTCATCCACTAAATCACTTGCATTCTCTGCCAAACTTCCAGCTTCACGAGTTAGAGCTCTTACCTTGTTTTTCAGATTACCAATCTCCACTTTTTGTGCCCGAATCAAATCTCTTGCTTCCAAGAGGGCTAGATATTGCCACCCATGTGGTTTCTCCACATCAAACCAACGAAAAAATTGCAAGACTCATACCCGTTCAAAACCTTACGGCCTTGACAGCAATAGAACCTCTTTCCTGGGTTTTCATTGGTCCAAGCTCTCACAATCTTAGCTGATCGACGACATTTACACACAACACCATTATCATTCTTCGATTCAATTATTGATGAACTACCACTTTCAGCCATCTTCTCCTCACTGTTTCTCTCTCGAATCGATGGCTTTCTCTCCCTCTCTAAACTTCGATATGTTTGTTTGTGAGAATGAGAAACCTAGATCCCCAAATCGATTTAGGGGTTATGATTTTTAATTTCTGATTTTATAAAATAAACATGTGTTCTAATTTAAAATTAAGTTAACGACGCACGTTTTATTTACATAACAGTCGTTTACTGTTCTGTCACTGTTCGGTCACGGAGTTAACTATTTCGGCACTTTTTTGGTCGGCGCAAACACGATAGCTAGTTTGGAAGTTTAAACTGTTAGTGTTCTGAGTTTGGAGGTTTAAAGTGCTAGTGAAACTCCACCAGGGTTTAAAGTGCTAGTAAATCTGACTTTCAGGGTTAAAAATGCGATTTTCCCGATAAGGTGTTTCATTTATATAAGAAGGGAAATGCT